GAAATAACCCTCTAAGTGAGGTTCAAGACACAGTTCTAGACGAGTGGCGGGTTCTATACATTCGGGTGACCGAGTAGCCTTCGTGGACCCTTGAGTATAAATACATACTAGTCCCATACGAGTGCTTGCGGTCCCCCTCATCCGATTCTTTTTTTTTATTATTGAAGCTTTGGGACAAGGCGCTCGTGTTACTTTTCCTTTCTTTCGGGATTTCTCCAGGATTTTTAAGGATTTTCTTTTACTTGAGTTTTTTTCGTTGATTCTCTCGAGTTTTCTATCATGAGTCGTTGTTACACTCTTCTTCGGATTTATTGGATGACGTTATTTTCCGGACTTTGCTTTTGAGATGCATTTAGGCTTGCTATACTTAAAGAACATCGGATCTCACGGGCGTACAGGTTTGCTTTACATTTTTCAGTACATTATTTTCATGTTCCTACCTGCTATTGTACTGTATAGCATGTCATATTATTCATGTTTTCTACCTACTACTGCTCTTCCTGTACAGCATTTTATATCATTTTTGTTCAGGACAGAGCACTCGTGTTACTCTTCCTTTCTTTCGGAATTTCTCTAGGATTTTTGAGGATTTTCTTCTACTCGAGTCTCTTCTCGTCGATTTTCTCGAGTTTTCCGCTTTTCCTCGGATTTCTTGGATAACGTTTTTCTTCCGGACTTTGCTTTCGAGATGCATTTAGGTTTGCTATACTTAAGGAACATTGAATCTTACAGGCGTACAGGTTTGTTTTATATTTTTCAGTACTTTATTTTCCTGTTTCTATTTGCTACCATACTGTACAACACGTTATACTTGTCATATTTCTACCTGCTACTGTTTTTCTGTACAGCATGTTATACCACTAATGTTTCTACCTGCTACTGTTCTACATGCATCCTACTGTTGTCCTGTACTGCACATTTTTATTTATATATCTTTAAGCATGTTTTTTTTTATATAGGATGTTTAGAAGACTTTCACCATAGGATTGTTTGATTTAACATCGTAACTGGACACCCTAGAAAAATTAAACTCGTCACGTCGAGGAACTTGGAGCTAGCGCGGTGGGCAGCACGACCATCTTCAACAGCAGAACATGTCTTCCCCAACAAAACCATTTCTTTTCCTCGAAATTAAACAACAATCCATAGAATTTCGAGGTTGTTTGCCTAGCGCAACATAAATCCTCCACCTTTTCTTTAGGCATTCGTATAGCTCTGTTGTACGATTTAAGCCCTAACTCGTTTTAGGTTCCGAGGTTGTCGTCCGATACGACGTAAACCCTCATATCTTCCAGGCGAATTATGTGACCATGTCACGCAAATATAAGCTCTAATTAAACAAAATTGACAGGATAAACACTTTAATAATTTCTTCTCAAAACTAAAGTCAAATCATAGGATAGACTGGGAAGTCACTGAGGTTTTCCTCAAGATCTGTGACCTCCCCTAGTTTCTCTTCATTTGGATTCCTCAACATTGTTCCAGGTTCGAGCATTTCCCCTTTCACACCTCTTCGTCCGATTTCGTTGAAAAGTCTTATCCTTTTGACTTCTTTGAAGATGATATCCCCTAATTTTTTATCGAGAGTTTTCTTAGATAATTTCGGTCATTTAAGTTGTAATTAACTATAGGGGTTTGCACTTATAGGAAGCTTTTCTGAACTCAGTCTAAAATAAACCCTATTTAATTCTTTGTATTAAATAGGGGAACTTGTCGGCAATTAAAACGATTTCGCAGACCAAACGATGTCATATATTTCTTAATTTATTTGATCGAGCATCATCCTCAAGTCTTGTGTTTATCCCTCAAAATAGATACAGGATTTGAGGTAGAGCGCTCTTTCATTTAAACTGTGAAAAATATGAGGTCAGTTTGATTTCATATTTTTCTAAAAATTATATATATGTATATAAATAAAATGTCCTTCCGAAGCGGGCGACGGAACTTCACTCCCAGCGACCGACAACTTCTTACGGACAAGTTTGAACAAATCACCCACAAATTTTTAACTTTCTCCCTTTTAGCTACCGACAATAGGAAAGAGAAAAGAATAATTGGGGAGTCTCTCCTAACCTCTACATATCTCACTAATATAACGAAGAATAATTGAATTCAGAAATTCCTTGAATTAACTTGTTTAATTTTTTCCACAAATAATTTATTAACAATACTTCCTCCAAAAATTTTTTTGTTGATGTATCTTCACATCCACAAATAACGCTAATATAAACTTGATCCTAAAGCACTCAAGTGTGTTTTTATAGGAAATTCATCCATGCAAAAAGAGCATAAATGTTATCATCCGACTACTAAAAAAATTAATTTAAAGAAATGTCACATATGATAAATATTAAAAAATACTCAAACTTGTCTTCAAGGGAGAAAACAACAAAATGAAAAAAAAATTTAATGAACTTAATATCTTTTATCTTGACATCATAACCACACAAACACAAAAACAACACAATATTATTATCATTAAATCTCTCTAGAATAATACAATAAAGACAAATCCCATTCAAAGTCCCTAGCAAACTCAAGATTCTAAACAATTATCAGAGAATTCCCATAATAATGAACAATATATTACAACACATTCTCTTATCTGCCCCATATATGTGGTACATATCTTTTCAAAAATTTTATCCAACATACAAAGCTTTCCTTAGATATTAATATATGTTCCAATATAATCAAAATACCATAAATATTAGGCCTTCGAAAACAATAACTGGAAGAATGTCATGAGAAAAGAGATGAATAACTTACAAAAATGTATGTGAATATTCTGATTAAAATATAGAATAGGCGGCATGAAATAGTATAAAATATGGTTAGTAGTAAAAATTTATTAAACGTAGAAAATTTCTCATAAAAATTCACTTCTTTCCTGTACAGTTTATTATCTGGACATCCTTCGTCAGGCTGGTAACACCGCATTTCTGAAACCATCATACATGCAATTAACTTTAAAGCAAGTTGAATTAGATCCATAAGTTATTGAAAAGTTTTCCTTTAGGTTCTTATGCTATGTCTCTAATGTTCAACATAATTCCTTCTAATGTTTTCAAAAACAAATAGTTTTCACAAATGAGACCTCTAATAGTTGGAATAAGACTAAGGACATTAGGAAAAATAGTCAAAATATATATTTCCTTGTAGAGTAAGGAGAAAAAGAATCATCCAAGTATGATAATGGTCAACAAAAACAGTTAATATTACTTTACTTTCCAAATGAATAAAATTGCCTTTCAACATTAACAAAGGGTTGTGAATATTGTGACTGTCTGAGTATCCATGAGCAGAAGTAGATTGAAATACATTCAAATTTCTGAACAAAAAACTTCAAATTGAGCTACTTCGAGCTGAGAGAATAGAGGATGAGAGATCACAAAGACAACCAAACCAAAAAAGGTCAGAATCCTAAATTTTTCAGTGTGCACACCTAAACTGAAGGGCAAGAAAAGAAAACCTTCCCTATGCCAAAAAATTATAGATAAAGCCAATTTACAAAGCATTTGTGCCAATAGAAGAGTGAAGTGAATCATAAAGAGGACCATATCATCCTTTGAGAGAGTTTCTAATGAGGAGAAAATAAATATCAAACTTCATAGGTCTTGGAGAAAGAATAGTTGCCAAGCCAGAGTTGGACCTTGACAAGTCAAGAATTTGGAGATGAACAAAACTCGAGATCTAAGAAGGTATTGACATGCATTAGTCAAGTATATGAGATGTGCGGAATGTTTTGTAGCAGGATATAAGAGTAGGAGTTGACGTGTCAAGATGAGTAGGAGGAAGGGAATTGATGTTTTGGTCACATTAAACGTCAAACATTTTTAGATTTGATTAATATTAAGAAAGGTAGAGGTAGATTTAAAAAGAACCTGGCATGTAGTATACGTATAAAAAATGATCATAATTTTTTAGAATTAAATGAAAGTATGACACTCAATAGGACACATTGGAGAAAAAAGATGCATGTAGCCAACCCCACTTAGTGGGATAAAGGCTTGTTGTTGTTGAACTTATTGTAAAACATCTAATAAATGTAACCCTCGTCTTTCTCCCCTTCTACACCCACCCAACACCCTTGACAAAAAAGAAGCATGAAAGTCGCAATAAGAGCTTATTGGTGAAGGCGTCGATGAGATTGCAACATTGCATTCAAAACTCTGAACTTTCTTCCCTTTTACTCCTACTTGAAACCCTTGACAAAAAACAAGAGAGGAATTCTTAATGAGGGCCAAGAGCTTGCTGGTGAAGAAATCGACGACATCTTGTAATCTTTTGGTTCGTCTAAATCCCCTAAATCCACTTAACTATTGGATTTAATAAATGTGAAATTTATATTGAAATGGAGGTAAAATGGGATTTAAAAAAAATATATTTGATCTAGTTTGCTCATTCATGTCATTTAACCAGACATACTGTAAATCCTGTGTAATTCTTGCTTGAATCCTATTACCAAACCTCCTAAAATGATGATTCATTTCCACACACAAAATGAGTGAAAATAGATCACCAATTTCTAAAATCATTTTCTCTATCTACAAGCTACCAAGTGAACCTTAAGTATATGAAAATGTCATTAAATTTACCAACATTAATGGAAGGAACAACAGATCATGCATAATATCACAAAAACATACACAAACCAACACTAATAATAGAACAAACAAGAAACCATATTTCAACAACAATCAAAAACCATGATTGCATGATCATTAACTAACTCATCAGCAAGCACACAACAAAAACTTATAACCATTTCAAAATCAAAGTCCCCGCGGATTAAACTCTAACCCAATTCGAGAAAATAAACGAACAAAAACTCATCAAACCATCACAACTCAACATCCTACGAGTCATAAACCAGCAAAGACGATAACTCCCCTAACCAGTCGCAAAATCCACACCGAACCTTCTAATCCTAATCAACTCATCAGAATTCACGAAACCAAATTAGCTCGATCAAACAAGAGATGAAACAGAACAATCACCTAGAACGAGCTGCAACATCTGCACGGCCTCAGGCGACGGCACCGTCCCGGGACCCTTGAAAACCGCCATACAGACCTCAAAAAGACGCTGGATCGCCGACGACGGCGATCCCGCCAGCACCCGCCGTAACCTCTGCGGCCGACTAAACCCTCCTCCTCCTCCTCGCCTCCTCACGATCCTCTCCTGCTCGTCTCTTCTCCTCCCCTGCTCCACCTTCCTCTTCTCCCCCATCTCGCTTCCCTCTACCTTCATCGTTCGATCTCGGATGAAGGTGAGCGGAAGCAGAGGCGGGAGATATAAAAGAGGTTTTCTTCCAGAAAACCAGGGGCCATGGCTTTTGTAGAAATCCCCCAAAAGAAAACCGGGCTCTCTGATTCTCAATACAAGTCTAGTTTTCGCAACGCCGCCGGCTTTGTCCCGACTCCAATAGTTGTACAGTTTGCTGTGGGTTACAGCTAGTTTATTTTACTTTGATTTTATAAGGATAACAAATTAGGTGAGGTATTCTCAACACAAAAAATTTTAAATAGAATTGTGGTGATGATCTGATACATAAAATCGACAAAAAATCATCTAAGGGCGTTTGGGGCAGCTTATAAGTGCGGGTGACGTTTTGAAAACGCCGTCTCACTGTTTGGTTCTCACTTATTGAGAGATTATTGGAAAATGCGTTTACAAAACAGATTCTGCTGCATAGATTATTCATTAAATTTAAAAAAAAAATTACAAATAAACTGTTTACAAAACGTACTAACCAAATAACTAAACTACTTATTCAAAACAGAGATAGAATGATCAATTTTCCATAAGCGCCAACCAAACAGCTAGACTGCTTATCGGATCAGCTGCTTATCAGCAGAAGCTAGATAAGCCGCAGCTGCCCCAAACAAACCCTAAAATGAAAGCTAAAAATATGCTAACTTGATTAGCTCAAATTAGTTGCCCTCAAAACACAAATACATAAGAAAAATATTTAAAATAAAAAAAAAACATATTATAACATTTGTCGTATTTTAAATTTAATTTAATAGTAAAATTTATCAATTTTTTAAAATTTTTAATTTATGAAAACTAGGAAGTTCAAAAATTTCATCCCTAGCCAACCTTTCATGTTAAATTCAAACTATAATATTTAAAATAAAAAAAGAATATTATTTAAAATAATGATAAAAAATATTTTTACACGCGTGTAAGTGCGCTCAGGAACAAACGAAGCATCTTTTGAATCAATTATATATATAATATAATTGCATGGGTGAAAGCTTTACACGAATCAATCACTATATTAGTTTATAATAATAAGTAAATAAAAAAGATTATGATAAAAGATGATAATTCCATAAAGTTTAAGATTATAAAAGTAAGGATTGGGTCAACAAATTAGTAATATATTTTGGACATCATGAGAACTCCACGTTAAAGCAAGCCATTTAAATACTTTTGAGAGATTTACATGCAAATCACTCTATTGCGACGTATTTACACATATCTAACATCAAGGTTCAATTTGTATTTCATCTTATTTTTGCATGTTGAAAATGTGTATTTCACTTGTTATTGATTAAAATAATGATAGAGTTTATGTGATGTGGAAGATATAAGTTATATAAATGCAAAAAATAAAATTTAGGTGTTGGATATGTCCATATTGAGGAATTGGGTGGTATGTATGTAAATGCGCCATTAGTTTTATATGCTTTACATATCTAACATCAAGGTTCAGTTTGCATTTCATCTTATTTTTGCATGAAAATGAGTATTTCACTTTTTATTGATTAAAATAATGATAGATTTTATGTGATGTGGAAGATATAATTTATATAAATGCAAAAAATAAAATTTAGGTGTTGGATATGTCAATATTGAGGAATTGGGCGGTATGTATGTAAATGCTATATATGTATATATATATTCCATGTCCCCCTTTTTTTTTTCATTTACATATTAGGGCGTGTGACATTAATGTGAAATTAAAATTCAAAATGCTCTGCATTTTCTTTTTCTTTTTTTTAGCGTGCAATAATTTTTATAAAATTCTAAATTTAAAAAACTAACATAAAATCTTGAAATTGTATACAACAGAACTATTTACACAAATCTCAAAAAAAACTAACGACCTAGGGTAAAAAACTTCCCTCTGTGGTGAGCGATCGACCTACAATTCAAAGTCAAGTATAAGAAGCGTTGTTCTAAACCAGAGATAGGTCAGCTATGGAGATGTTTCCGGCTCGACAGCAACAAGATCCACCAAGAGTGAAGCGCAAATCATGTGAGAGTGAGTCTAGTTGAATTATCATTCGGGGGTGTTTTCATCAGCAACTATGTACTTATTGGCCATCTTTAACAACTCGGCCAGGCTTTGCGGCTCTGCAAGGTTAAGGTGGAAGCAGAATCATTCTAGTACACACGACCTCAATTCCGCAAAATAGGTGATCACCTCTACGTGCAACCCGTTGAACCATTTTAGTACACACGACCTCAATATTGTAAGGAATAGCTTACCCTTGAGAGCGTCAGCAATCTTTAGCACGCACATGGAAGATTCAAACAATGCGAGGTGGTCTTTGGGATATGGTTGTTTTTTTATGGCTCTAGAAAGGGCATTTTTAACTTCTCTAGTAGTTCAACTCTTGAGATTTGTAGTTAGATGGCATTTATGGTTGTCACAGTGCTTCGGTTCGCACCGATCTATTCTTTTCCTCCATAGGGGTGAATCCAGCGCTATATTGGTATAACACATCATCGGGCTTCTCGTGTAGATGGATTATTCTTCTTCCAGTGTTGGTGGTTCCCCTTAAGGGGGGTTGGTTGCCCCTAGTTGGGCCGATTCTCCTTCTGGAATTGGGACCTCCCCTAAACCAGCTACCGCTCTGAGTATTGTCCTGACATCTGGTTAGTATTTTGAGTCCTTAGGTCTTACAAGCCTTGCTAAATGAATTCTTCCATGAACTCTCTATTGCATGCTGCTTCTGTCATGTTCCTCTAGCTGAATTCTCCTTGCTATTATTGTTAAGTTTCTCATTTTTGTTGATGACATGTTTCCACTCTCACCACACCTTAAAGGATGTTAATCCAAATGTGTCTACAAAACACAACCGAGGTATAGAACGTCACACTAAAAAGAGAGTATATTAGAGAACAATAGAGAATGCATTGCCTTTATTCATGATATTGGCCCCCTATTTATAAAAAAGAATCTTGATCTTACAAATTTATAGATGTACTTCCTAATTATTAGCCTTTTAAGGAGGTTTTTCAGTAATTACAAAAGTATCTGAATGTATTAAGACAGTGAGAAGATCGTCAATTGTTTGTCGTTCGTCGATCATCATTCTGAGGGACAAAATCCTTTGGTAGGCCCTTACGTTCATTTGTCCCATAGATTCTCATTTGTTAATAGCTACAATCGACCGGTTACGTGATCAGTTGCCCCTTTTTTCTGAGTCATCCATTTACTTTGAGATTCGTGGCAACTTATTTTTTGTATACAAATAAAATGCTCACCATCAATAATGACAATAAAAAATACAAGATAATACTTATCAACAACAACAATAAAAAAATAAGAGCATTTACACACATATCACCCAATTCCTAGGTATTTACACATCTAGCATCTAAATTTTATATATTTGTACCATCCAAATTTTTAATATCACATGAAAAGTACCATCATTTTAATTTTTAAAAGATAAGGTATGATGTGTATGTAAAAAATGAAATTTAATTGTTAGATACCTAAATATATAGGTGTCAAATCATATTTTATATTTGGGCCGCACACGACAAGGCAAAGAGTTAGGAAAGAAGGGAAAAGGGTAGAAAAGAATGAATAGTAATGGAAATGCACACTTACTTCTCCCGACCATTGTTCAAAAAGTCTATTCATTTTACATTAATTCTCCTCATTTATGTATGGGCATTTTCTCTTATAAAATATACACTTGCCATGACCATGCTTAGATCTTTAGGGATCTCTAGCAGCTAATACTAGCCATGCTCTATCTCTGACATACATACAATATTATCCTTGGCGTGTTATCTCTTATCAGTACCACATTTCACATTCTATCATTCACACACTTCGTAGGGTCACATCCCCAAGTATATCTGGCCTGCTGCTTTAGAATTTGCTTTGAGCTCAGCTCGCCTCTGGATCTTATAAGTTCCTGACCTCTGGGACGATTGAAGATGACATGACCGATAATCTTTATCGAGATGATAAGACCATGATTTATGGATCCCTCTCAAATTCACCTTACAAGGAAGACATCCTTCGAGTGGCCGCTAGTATCCAGCTACTAGTACTCGTCTGCTCTTCATCGTCTACTCGTCGACCCGGGTGTTTAAAGGATCGTCTTAAAGTCCCATTAAGCTTGTCTGAACCCTCATTGGCTCAACAAGGCAGTCTTTTGTCATACAGTGAGAATTATGGTATGCATGTAAATCTTCCTAAAAAATAAGTCCTAATTAGGAATGAAAACACCTAATAAGAACGGTTGTTAATAATGCCAAAATTATGCAAGGATTTGCCTTTGGACCAGTTGGGGCAGCTTATTTGGTGTGGTGGCATTTTGAAAACGCAACTGGTCTGTTTGGGTAAACTGCGTTTTGGCAACTTGTGCGTTTTCAAAACGCTGAAAAAGACGTTTTCACACTACAGGTGACAGTTTTCTGACAGCAATCTGAATTTTCCAAAAAAAAAAAAAATGTAATAGTCATCGCACATAGCTTATCAATAGATTACTTTTATTCAAATTATCAGCAAATTATTCAATAAGCTGCAACTACCCCAAACAGCTATTATTCATAATTTACAAGGACTTCTCTGTCGCGGTGTTACATTTTTTGTTTTCGAGTGTTGTCGATTATGTAAATTATTTTGATTATTTATGTACATCAATGAAAACAAATATTTTATTTTGTGATGTTGCTTGACCGCCAACATCATTGGCCACCGATTGTCAAATTAGATGACCCACCAAGAATCTTGACGAATGTTTGCAATTTGTTCCATCCTGATATTTGATTGTTGGGGGCATTAGCATGCATACCCTCGAATTCTTACGTATTTACATATCTAACATCTAAAATATATTTTTTTATATGTTCACCATCCAAATTTTTCATATCACATCAAATATCGCTTTTTTAATTTTTAAGAGATAAATTACACTTGTTTGTCTATAGATAAGATGACATGTATGTAAAAATTAAAATTTAAGTATTAGATATATAAATACATAAAAAATGAAACGTATGTAAGTAAAGCTACTGGGCTTAACTGAGTATAGGTTGTTCGTAGTTTGTTTGAGTCGAGCTTGAGCTTATAAGTTCATATTTGATTTGCTTAAAGCTTTTAATAATCATGTTTAATCTGTAATTGAGTTTT